GGATTTAAGATTTAGGGTTTAGGGTTCAGGATTTAGGGTTTAGGGTTTAGGATTTAGGGTTTAGGGTTTAGGGTTCAGGATTTAGGGTTTAGGGTTCAGGCCCTTCCTTTTCTTTACCGAGCGCAGCAATAATATCAGCTATAGTCAAAGTAATAAGACTAACGATACGGGTAATTGTCTGTTTATGATTTATGTCAAGGTTGTTTTTGCCTTTGCTGTCGTTTTTTCCTGGACCCGCAAGGTTTTCCGGTTGGCTCGGGCGACGATTCGTGAACACGCTGCTGCGGTCAGTGAAGGTGGTGGGGCATTCCAGCGGATCTCATGCGAGGATCTTTTTTATGAACGCCGCCGCTGCAAACTCGTTGCCCAATGCTACTGGGGTTTCCGCGCATCCCAATAAACAACGACTTCCTGCAAATTCCGACGCTGGCTGATCGGAGGCCATATGCAGTTCCGTCCTCATGCTCGCGAGTGGAAGGAGGAAAGTACGAGGTCCACGTCCTGAACCCTAAACCCTAAACCCAAAGCCTAAACCCTAAACCCTAAACCCTCAACCCTGAACCGTTACTATTCAGGGGTCAAGTATTCGAACCCCTCCTTCGCTGAGCCCAGCAACTTGGTGCCGGCGTTTGGACCGCAACTTGTTGCCCTGAAGTACTGTTCCTTTGCAGGGCTTCTTACAGGGATTCTATAAGGGCTGCTATAAGGGTTTAGGGTTCAGGGGCCTTAATAATTAGAATATAATACTATAACTATAACAAGGAACCCCCCAAAATAGTATAGGTAATTTAGGCCACTACATTACTGTCCGCCAGCCTTGTCAGTCTGGTTGGGCAAGAAATCTTCTATCGAGGTCACCGATCTGGGTGAGCTGTGGGTTTTGACGGGTCTTTCTAAGGTTTCCGTCGTATGGCTCTGAAGTGCCTGAGCCTTGATGGTTCTTGTAGGGTTTATGAGGTTGTGAATATGAACATCATCCCTCATCCAAGCAAGTTTTGTTTCTTAACCTTATCCTTTAACCCCTAAGCCCTAAACCCTAAGCCCTCAACCCTAACCCATTAACACGCCCGCCCCTATGGCCCAATCAGCCCCTTAGGAGCCCCAACAAGCCTCGGTGCTCCACACCCTTGGGTTTCAGATGTTCCAATACACCCTAGCTGAACCCCCAACAACCTGCTTTGTCAGGGTTGCTTAGTTATGTCATTTTTACTTCAGTCCTTAACCATGTAGAAAGGTTTCGGTGGTTGAGGAAGTGAAGGATTACTTGTGGCTCCAACTACCCCCTGGCTTCAGCTTGATACCCGATGATTCAGGGGTCCTAAGCTACTATTTTGTAGGGTTTGGGGCTTCGGATGGTCTAAGCCCTAAATCATCAACCCTAAATCACACCAGGAAATTCCTAAACCACAAACTTTAAACCCTAAAACCATCTCATACCACCAGGGCGGGTCCTGATTCACTATAACGGTCGGATCAAAACTAGCAACGGTATCCCCTTACGGGTTTCTTCAAGGGATCCTTTTTTGGGACCCATTCAACGGGTCCTTGAAGGGTTCGTTTTGGTATGCCCTTATAGTCCTTACATAGCTGTATACTGTCACATGTCCGAAAAATTCTGCTCTATTCCTATACCCTAAACCCTAAACCCAAAGCCCTAAACCCTAAACCCTAAACCCTAAAGGCCCTAAGTTAGGTCCGGGCTCCTAATTTCGGCAAATAGCCTGGCCTCCGCCATGGCTCACACTAACCAAGTCCCTGCAACCTTTCAATCCGTGAAGCCCTGAAACCCTGAAGCCCTTAAACCTGAAACCCTTTAACCCTGAAGCCCCAAACCCTGAAACCCTTAAACCCTAAACCCTGACACCCTTAACCCTGAAACCCTAAACCACTCCGAGGTCTGCCCAGGTTGTTTTGGTTGTTTCTGTCCGTGTATGTCTGCGAGTCCGTGTGTCCCTGTCTGTCTGCCTGTGTGAAAGTGTGTCGTCATAGAGGTCTAATATAGAGGCCTTAATAATTAGAATAGGGTTTTCGGCCCATTATACTATAATTACCATACAGAACCCCCAAAACCCTATTCTAATTATTAAGGCCCCTGCGTCATGTGGACTTTGCGGGTCTGGTCATTCAACTTTCGGTTTTGAGTTGAGACCTTCTAAACCCCTCATAACCCGCCTGTAATCCTCCTACGAACTCCTTCGTAACGGTTTAGGGCTTAGGGTTTAGGGCCAAGTTTAGGGTTTAGTATCCTCCTTGCGAAACCCTTTATGACCACCCCCGTATAGAAGCGCGGGCCGGCTTGGTCATATGGGAAGTTCTCTAGATTAGGGTCCCTGATTAGATCCCCACTATAGTACGGAACCCTTATAAAAAGGGATCCCAAAAGGGACCCTAAAAATGAAAACTCCCCGTATCAGGGTTTCCCAACCGCAGCCCGCAGCCGTCGCAGGCATTCGGTGACGCGGCCTCTGCTCTGGATAAATGCGCTGCGCTGAGTTTAGGGTTTTGGGGTTTAGGGTCTAGGGTTTAGGGTCTGGAGTTTAGGGTGTAGGGTTTAGGGTTTAGGGTGTAGGGTTTAGGTTTCAGGGTTTAGGGTATGGGGTGGGGTGTAGGGTGTGGGTTTAGGGTTTAGGGTTTAGTGAGTGGTTGTAGACTTGAGAGCTCAGGGTCAATTCAGCGAGTTTAGACTTTTAGGCGTTGAAAAGTCCAGGGTTCTTAAACCTCCCCAACCCCACAAGTCAAACCCTGAGACCCTAAACCCTAAAAGCCCTAACCCCTAAACCGTGAACCAGAAGTGTAGGCTGGCATTTCCTGGTCGACGCGGGAGGCTTCAGAGCTTACTCTTGAAGATTGGGTTTAGAACCCTAAACCCTAAGACCCTAAGACCCTAAACCCTAAGCCCTAAGACCCTAAACCCTAAACCCTAAGACCCTAAACCCTAAACCCTAGACCCTAAGACCCTAGACCCTAAGACCCTTCACCCTAAGACCCTAAACCCTAAGACCCAAAGCCCAAAACCCTAAACCCTAGGGTTTAGGGTTCCAGTTTCTCTCTAAATTGCAGCCTGGTTCTATAGTGGCTTTTGTCAGATGGGGTCCTCCCAGATTTTAGGGTTTAGGGTTCTTTAAAGGTTCTATAAGACTTTAGCACCCTCAGCCTTTATCTTGAACCTTAGCTCCCCAAAGCTCGAAATTGTGGTTCTGTCCCCGTTTTAACCCGAAGCCCTAAACCCTAAACCCTATATATATATATATATATATATATATATAGACCTAAAGAAACTTTATACGGCGGGTTATAAGTCCCTCAAAGGTGGGTTTAAAACTATAGTTACCCTACTTATAAATCCACTTACACCACCACCCACAAACCTCTAGGTGGAACCCTCGAAGCCCTAATCACTAAAACCCTAAACCCTAAACGCCAAACCCTAAACCCTAAATCTTGAGCCTGCAACCTTGAACTCTCAAGCCTAATCGTGGAAGCCCCCAACCCACCAGCCCACAGCCCACATCTTCGATCCCAAGCCGCCCTAGCAAGGGTTGTTTTGGGTTTAGGGTTTAGGGTGTAGGGCCCGCAGCCCAGAAGTAAGGGCTTGACCGTCTTTCGAACCCACATTGGTGGTAACTTGCTTGCCCACGTGCCGCTCTTCAAGCTCCAGGCGGTGCCGGCGCTCTTTCTCCGGCAGCGAGATCGGATTCATCGAGATGGACTTGCAAGCTAACCTTGAGACTACCGCCCCATCTACACAAATCCCTCGAGGTTCGCCCCCTTTTAACCCAGAATTTGTCATTGTGTTCGCCCGGGACTGGCCGCAGCTGTGAAGTCTCGAGCAATTGCCGAGAACGATGGAGCGGCACCTTGACATGAATTCAGACACGGCAGCTGTGTGCACTTGCTCCACATCGAAGGCATGACATGACAACCTCTCGGAGGCAAAAAGAGGGAGCCTCTCGCAGCCACTCCGGCTTGCAGCGCAACGTCTGTGCGCCGAAAGCTTCGACAACAGGCTTGAATGGGGTGAATTCAACTTCGAGCCGGATCTCTCTAAACCCTAAACCCTAAGCCCTAAACCCGAAACCCTAAACCCTAAACCCTAAACCCTAAAACCTGGAGTGCTGCGGAGAATGTGGTGGCACTTCCAGCCTCGCTGGTGGAATCCTCGTTTGACGAGAGCCGGATGTGCCACTGGAGCTCCGATTGGCCAACAGGGGGTACAGGGCTTAGGGGTTTAGGGTTTAGGGTTTTTAGGGTTGTTAGGGCTTTTAGGGTTTTTAGGGTTCTTAGGGTTTTTAGGGTTTAGGGTTTAGGGTTTAGAAATCGGTACCATTGCCTTCATCGGGACTCAGTTAAACCCCAAACTCCGACTCTCAAGCCGCAAACCCCTCTGGGGTGCCTCCGCGGCTGCTGATCTTGCTTGCCAACCCTGAACCCTAAACCCTGAGCTGTCAAGTCTTGAACGCTACACCCGAAACCCCAACACCCGAGAGAGCTCGTAAAGTCGTAAAGACATGCTCTCGGCTCTCGAGATCTTATCGAACCCTCAATTAGGAGCCGCTCAAACCCTAAACCCTAAACTCCTAAACCCTAAACTCCTACACCCTACACCCTAAACTCCTAAACCCCTAAACCCCTAAACCCTGAACCTCCAAACCCTAAACCCTAAACCCTAACCCTGTGGTTTTCG